TTATTACTATTTTTGCATTGTTGAAATGAGGAAACCAAGGCATAAAAGAATTCAGTAATTTTCTAAAATTATGAAACTAGTTATAAGTGGAGGACCCTGAACATGAACTTGACCAGTCTGGTCTTGAAACATATACTCAACAGATCAATCTGACTGTGTGGGGCAATGGGTTGGAGTCAAACAAGGCAGGAGACAATTAGGAGGAGCTGGTAGCCATAATTCAGGTGAGAGAAAATGGCCATTTGGACGTCATACATTTGCTTAGAGGATTAAATATTGTAACATGATTAAAGCACCTGGTATAGTTTTTGTGATATGGTAAGCAGTCAATAAATAATAATTTATCCATGCATATATAGAAACTTGATACATAAGAGATGTATATATTCTAGATTAGTGGTGGAGGGAGAGTGTATAAATTTGCTGCCATAACAAAGTACCACAAAATGGGTGGATTAAACCAGCAGAACTCACAGTTCTGGAGTCTAGAAGTCCAAAATCAAGGTGCCGGCAGGGCTGGTTCCTTCTGAAGGCTGGGAGGGAAGATTCCGTTCCAGGACTCTCTCATTGGCTTGTAGTTGGCCATCTTCATGTTCACACTCTGTTCTTGTACGTTTGTCTCCAAATCCCCTTTTTGTAAGGACAGCAGTCACATCGGACTGAGGACCACCTTGATGGCTTCGTTTAAGCTTGATTATCTCTGTAAAGACCTTATCTCCAAACAAGGTTATATTCTGAAATACCAGGGATTAGAATTTAAATATATACATTTTGGAGGTATAACATCCACTCCATAATGGAGGGATTAATTAATAGTGATTCCACAAAAATTGGTTATCCATATGGAGAAAAACCTTGAATTTTTAACTCAGATAATACTAAAAAATTATTATCTGAAATATTAAAGACTTAAATGTGGGAGGCAAAAATGTTAAAATGTTTAGAAAATATATAGTAGAATATCTTTATAATCCAGTAAATAATTCTGGAGGGACTTTTAAGATTCAGCACAAAACTGCTAAAATAAAACACAAAAAATGAGATCTAATACATTTAAATTTGGTTACACTAAAGTTAAGAACTCTTTGTAAGAAATGATAGCATAAAAAATGAAGGCCAGCTGTGATTTGGAAAAGGATGTTTGCAAAATATATAACTGATAGAGGATTAGTGTCTAGAACACATAAATAATTAAGAAAAAGATGAACAACCCAATACAGAATTGGACAAAGGAGATGAACAGATATTTCACTGAAGAAAAATGGATACAAAAGGAAATATAATTTAGGTCCCCAAAGTGATATCATTTTGTAACCATCTAGTTGATAATAATTAAGAAGCTTAACAGTTCCAAGGATTGTAATGAATGTGGCTGAAGGGGAACAATTTGAAGTGGTATGAATTGATTTTAGCATTACCTAGTAGTGTTGAGCATTCTCATAGCCTATGAAGCAATAATATCATTCTAGGAATATGTCCTAGAGAAACTCCAGCACAGGGTGTTGAGTATAAGACCACTCATAGTAGAATATTTCTTGAGGACAAAAAACTAGAAATAATCCCAGTGGTTAGTCACAGAATGATATTTAAAGTATTTGGGTATCTAAACTGTGAGGTATAATAGAACTTTGTAAATGAATAAACCACTACCACATACAACAATATGCAAGAATCTTATAAATCTTACCTAGAAAAAGCAAGTTCCAGAAGGTTAAGTTACAAAACAAGAAAGTTTAAATTCTATATTGGTTTATCTGCACATTTATGTGACAGAACAATAAAATAGAAGAGAATGATGACAAATACAATTTAGGATAGTGGATATCTCCATTATCTTTGGGGAAGGGCATGGAGGATTTGAATGGAGGCAGAAACATACAGATAGATATAATAATGTTAGTAGTGTTCTAGTATAGTTCTTGTTATGGATTGAATGCTCTCCCCACCCCCAGAAGATATGTCAAAGTTCTAACCTCCAGAACTTCAGAACTTGACTTTATTTGGAAATAAGGTCATTGCAGATGTAATTGGTTAAGATCCAGTAGGGTCCGCCCTGCTGGAAGAAGGGCAGACCCCTACTTCAATATGACTGGGGTCTTTATAAGAAGATGGTCATGTGAGGACAGGGACACAAGAAGAATGAGATGAGAAGATGAAGGCAGAGATTGAAATTATGCAACTACAAGCCAAGAAATGTCCAAGATTGCCAGCAAATCGCCAGAAGCTACACAAGGGACATGGAGCAGATTCTCCTTCACAGCCCTCAGAAAGAACCAGCCCTGCCAGCATCTTGCTTTTGAACTTTTAGCCTCCAGACTGTAAATAAGTAAGTAAGTAAGTAAATAAGTAAGTAAATTTCTGTTGCTTAATCCACCCAGTTTGTGGTACTTTATTACAGCAACCCTAGGAAATGATTATGTCCTTAAACTAGGTAGCTGGTGCATGAGTGTTTATTTTATATTATTGTTCAACACATAAATGTATTACATGTTACTTTTTATGTACAAATAGCTACCTAATAAAAGTAAAATGACAAAAGAAGTTATTATTTCCATTCTTACCAAACTGGGGCATGTTTCTACTATTAATCTTTTATGGCAAATTCTAGGAAAGTTTTTCTTGACATTTTTATTAAAACTATAAAAATTAACTTCCAACACTCCCTTTAATTTTTATAGAGTTTTTATTTCAACCTAAGTATCACTGAGTCCCTGCTTCTCTGTCTTTAATTATAGTATACACATCTTTTGAGCAAAATGTCCTGTATCTAATCCTGAATGGTGATTGCCAAGCACACACCTGTCATGGTATGTTATCCTCTTGCAGAGGGGCTGGAATTTAACACAAGGAATCCTGGACATCTAAAATCATATTAAGGTTTTGAGCAAGCACGCATGCTGCCAAAGTGCCTTCCCTCAGCCTGGAAGCCACATCACAGTGGGGGCTGGTTTGCTTTGCTTGCACAGCTGTGCCTCTGCTCCCTAGAATCACAGCCTGACCCAAAGTAGGTGCTCAAGAAATTTGTTGAATGAAGGGGTAATGAATAGTTTTATGTGAGTTTCCACTTCTTAGAAGTAACAATATCAGCTATCACTTATCAGAAGAGATTATCAGCCAATCCCCAACGTTCACTAACTTTCAATCTGTTTGTTTCCCTCATCTGCTGATTCACCAGCTCTTCTTTCTCACCTAAGTACTTGTGTGTGTGTGCATTTTTTCTTTTAAGAGTGCTTAGTTGTTTGATTTCTCAAATTATAACTATATATTACTACTAGTTCCCACATTACAACTATATATTACTATTACTATTTCTATCTTGGGAAGAGGTGTGGATGCTTCAGAGTCTTTTATTGATACTCAGGTTAAATATATCTTGATTAAAGACTGGATTCTAAAAAAGAAACTCCAAGAATACATGCAATATAGATAATTTAAAAAATTGGATTTATCTGGTACTTTGAAAACTAAATCAATATTTTGAATATATTACATAGTGAATGTTATAATTTGACATTGCATTAATAATTTTTTTGTTGTATTTTTACCCAGTAGATAGAACTGCTGATGTCAGTGAGGTGCTGCAGTGGGAGATACTGAACTACAACACTGGAAATGCTGATTGTAACACTGATGAATTCAAACACGGTTTGAGAAGCAACCAAACACAGTCCTATGTGAAGATGAAGAGCTGAACAAATCTCTGCAGGAATACAGCTCAGTAGGAAAGACATAAGTAAAAGATAATTGCAATGTAAAGTAAGTAAGTGCTATTAATCATTAAAAGAGAGCACTGTGGGTCATTCACATTTTTACTGTGGTTCATTACATTTTTTTTTGGAGAGTAGCCACCCAGATGTAATATTTCTCTACTAACCAGAATACTCGATTAACCAAATTGTACAATTTCCTGACCATACCTGAGTAACAGTTTATTTTACAAGTTATAAACATACCATTAAAAAAAATCTCAATATCTACCACAGGGGAAAATTGCAATTGTTCTTTTCTATAGTTAATGGCTAATTTATTTTATCTTGCTTAAGCATTTTATGATCCTTTTTAATTTCCAGGAATTTAGAGGCCCCTTCTGATTTTAGAATGGAGAAAAGAGGATTTATTTCCATGTGGCACTGGTTTTTCCCATAGATGGTGGTGATATTTTACTAAAATAAAAAGAGCAGACATCAGTAATGATTCCCTAGCTGTTTAACTGGAAAATGAGAACTAATTAATAGGTATGGGTCAAAACAATATTGGCAAAAGCAGTCACAGAATTAAAATGGCCCAAATCATAATTTCCAATGAACTAGTGGATATTTCTTTACTTGATAGTATCGTAAAATGATCTCCACAAAATTTGCTAGGCTCACATCTCTTTGGGTAAACATATCACTAGAAATTCTGCTCAAATCATTAAAATGTAACTCATCCCTTATCTGCAGGCGTCCTTCAAGAATATTTCACATCCCTTCCTCTTTTCACGTTACTTGGAAAACTTGCAACATAGTCCATTCCTCTGAGTGACAGTGAGTCCTAAGCAGTGACCGTTTTCACTCACAGCACATAGCTTGAATCCGTTTTTAACTCCCTGGGGCTATCGGCCACAAAGCCCGTCCTCAAATACATCATCTCCATTTTTCTACCTGGTTTCTTTATCTTTTTCGAGCTGGGTTTGGGATTCGTTCAGTCCGCAAACTACAATCTGACAGTCCAACACGCTGTCACAGCAGTCTGTGGACTTTCCTCAGCTCTCCAGATTCCTATCTTGCAGCCTCAGACATGGCGCTTTTAGCTTGAAAATGGGTTTAAAACAAAACTTTTCCCCAAGTGGCCGGGCTGCTGAGAGGGCAGCCCTGATGCTGGTGGGGGCCATAGCATCCCAGCGCAGTGCCTTCCTCTCTCCCAGTCTGGCTCTGGGCTCACGGAAAAGGGGCGGAGAGGAGACAGAAGAGGAAGGGGCGGACGTCACCCTTGTCCTCCAACCCGCCCAAACTGCCAGCGCTGCTAGGTGCTGAGGGATCGAAGAGGCGGTGCGATCCGCAGGTTCCGCTGTGGGGGAGCGCAAGGCTTGAAGCGCGGCGAGAGACAGCAGGAGACTGACCGGGGAGCGGAAGAGCGAGCGCAGCGAGGAGCCCCGGGAGCCTTCGGCAGTGGCTGAGCCCAGGGAGGAGGGGCGCGCAATGGCGCACGGAGGGGCGCGCTCTTCTGCTCCACCTTGAGCCCTGCCGGCGACCTGAGATGCCAAGGTAACCACTCCTCCATCCCCTAGATTCCGGAGCGTTGGTCTCTTAACGCTCAACGCCACTGAAGTTTAGCCACCCAGCCCCGGGCGCCAGGCGCCAACTGCAGACTACTGCCCTGGAGAGCACCTTAGTTTGCGCGTGGCAACAAGTTTGGACCAGACGCCCCTAGCGGGGGAGACCCTTAGGGACAGGGTACTCGGGCTGACCCCTGCGGATTCTATGCTGCGGCATGGGGGCCAGGTAGACAATGTCTCAGAGTAGAGAAATGGTCAAGAAAGAGATCCTCTTCGCGCCCCGTGGTTCCGTGTCCACGACACTTTGAGTCTGGCACCCCGACCAGCGCGGGCCTTTGGTTCCCCTGTAGGATGGGAGGAAAACTGGCCCCCTGGCATTTGAGCGATTGCAGAAGGCTTCACCAAGTTAGGAGGTTGGGGAAGGATGTTGCAAGCAGACGTATGGGGGTGGCAGGGTAGTAACGGGAGAAAGTCCGGCGGTAAGATTTGAAGGAGGCGGCCGTCCTCGGGGTAGCTAGGGCAGACCCACTCAGGAGGGTCGCAGGAAAGGCTGGCTCCAGAATTCCCAGCCTCTGGGAAAGTTGCTTGGAGACGCCAATCGGATTACCTCGGGGGCGGGGCGGGGTCGGGGCGGGGTGGGGGTGGGGGTGGCCGGGGCCGTGGGTTTGGAGAATCTGTGACTCAGGTTTCAACTCACTAGGGAAAGAGGGACAATAAATACTTCGTTTTGGATGTTACTACCCTCAAGCTGCAGCTTAATTAACACCATCTGGGCAGATGTACTCACAGTAAGCGCAACTCACTCTTTTTCCATTGCAACCCAGGATTTCTGCACAGGTGGTAGCTGGACCAGAAATCCTTCCTAGAGACTCACCACTCTGCCTTCCATGGGTAATGATGCGTGTGGTGTGCTGGTATTTGATCTCAATCAAATAGGTCTAGAACTTATTCAGGAAAGCTCCAGAGAGACCTTGCTGTCCCCTCCCAAGGTTTGAAGAAGATTTTTTGTCTACCTGACACACAGGTAGTTCACCTAAGAAATAATCTGCAGTTTGGGGACAAAGCCCAGTTGAGAAAAAAACCAGAAACTTTAAAAGGTCATAGAGTTATTTAAACAGACTCATTCTTTTAAAAACATGATTGGGTTTAAACCAAATCTTTTTAGTGATTTTGTAAGCCTGTGAAGAGTTTAATCAAGGGAGCTCCATTTTGGCAGCTTCTTCACCTTGAAAATGAAATGTGGCACCAGAGGCAGATGTGTGCTGCTTTCAGGATGATGCCACCTTGCTGATGATAGGTTAGATAACTCTGAGTCCTGCCACAAGGTACCTGGGGCCCTCCTGTCTTAACCGTCAGATGAGCAGTTAGGCAGTGCTCGAAATTCCTCTCTCTTTCTGCTGCAGATGCCTGGACTGAAGCCTGCACTATTCTGAGAGGGAGATGACTTGAGCAGCAGGCTTTTTTTCTTCTCCACAACAATGTCCATGAACAATTCCAAACAGCCGGTATCTCCTGCAGCTGGGCTCCTTTCAAATACAACTTGCCAGACAGAAAACCGGCTATCAGTCTTCTTTTCAGTAATCTTCATGACGGTGGGAATCTTATCAAACAGCCTTGCCATCGCCATACTCATGAAGGCATACCAGAGATTCAGACAGAAGTCCAAGGCATCATTTCTGCTCTTGGCTAGTGGCCTGGTAATCACAGACTTCTTTGGCCACCTCGTCAATGGGACTATAGCAGTATTTGTATATGCTTCTGATAAAGACTGGATCCGCTTTGACCAATCTAACATCCTTTGTAGTATTTTTGGTATCTCCATGGTATTTTCTGGTCTGTGCCCACTTTTTCTAGGCAGTGTGATGGCCATTGAGAGATGTATTGGAGTCACCAAACCATTATTTCATTCTACAAAAATTACGTCCAAGCATGTGAAAGTGATGTTGAGCGGTGTGTGCTTGTTTGCTGTTTTCATAGCTTTGCTACCCATCTTTGGGCATCGAAACTATAAAATTCAAGCATCAAGGACCTGGTGTTTCTACAAAACAGAACATATCCAAGACTGGGAAGATAGGTTTTATCTTCTACTTTTTTCTTTTCTGGGGCTCTTAGCCCTTGGTGTTTCATTCTTGTGCAATGCCATCACAGGAATTACACTCTTAAGAGTTAAATTTAAAAGTCAGCACCACAGACAAGGCAGGTCTCATCATTTCGAAATGGTCATCCAACTCCTGGCTATCATGTGTGTCTCCTGCATTTGCTGGAGTCCATTTCTGGTAAGAGCCTAACATTTTGACAATTTTTGCTTTCTTCTGTTTTTCCATGCTCAATACAAGATTTGTTGTCTTTTTCAATATTGTTAGTCTTGATGGGTAACACTATTCAATCTTTAAATGCTGGGGTTTACACCTCCTTGGAGGTTTTTTCAGCACTCAGCTCTGGCTTTGAATTCAGCTATTTATGAAATACAGTTATTTCCCCACAAACCCTGTGTTGACAGGAATGTCTTGCTAAAGAATTCTAAGTGTATTGTTATCTACTTGCAGTGCAGTATAAAGTAATTCTACAGAAGTATCATAGTTTTAATATACTGAATATGGTTGGTTTCTGAAATGTGAAAAATACAATATTGGAATGGACTCCTGCAAGTCTTAATAGAAAGTCACATAGATTTCTGTTTTGTAGAAAAGGCATATTAGCTACTGGGTTTTCTAGACACTATAACCAGGTCTTAGCCTGTCAAGGGAGGTGATGAGTGGAGATAGCTGGCTAGTTCAGGTGAACTGTATGCATAGATCAGGTGAAGAAATCACGAGTGCACAAACCCCGTTACAATGTCAATAGTGCAGGGAGAGGTAGGGTCAGCAGGGAGAGCCAGGGTTTCCTCCCTTATCATTCATTCTTTTAAAAAAAATTTAGCCAAAATCTATATTTGGCAGTTTGATGTTTTTATTTGGAAATGAAGGCAAAGGTTAGGGAATGGGCAACAATGTAAGTAATTTATATAATTTTCCAGGTAGAAGAAAAAAATACTTAAGATTGGTAAGTATGGCCTTAACTCCCTTTAACATTTTTGTTTAGGATGCTATGAGTGACAACATGCCATGAAAGAGAAAAAATCCTTCTGTAAATAGCTATTGATGGCATCAAAGATTGTTTTCATTCATTTTTCTGCACCAATGGGAAAACAGACTGGTATCCAGAGATAGTGATACAGGTGATACATAGGCGGAGGTGAGGCAAAGGGATGAGATGAAGGTAAACATAACACAAAGGTCATGGTCAGACTTCGATGGTAGTGTGAAGGTCCTTATTACTCATGCAGTTTTCCTAAAGCCCTGACAGGTTCGTTGTCCAAGAACTGCTGCCAGTGGAGTTTTAATGACCAACCCTGATGCCTCGAAAAGTTTGTGAGAGCTGCTGCCACAGAAAGATCCTGTGATAGCCGATTTTAATTTACAGAAGGATTTGGACTTTTTGAATGTTTCTTTATTTCTATTCATATTATTTCCTCATCATTTGAACTTAGCTTCTTGAATAGTTAATTCATTTAAATATTTTTTCATGATGTACTTACTTGTGTTGGTCCTAAGAACCCAACCAAGGGGAGGTTAAGCTGGGTCTGTAAGTGGCAAGTTAACCTTTTGAGGCCTGCTTGTTGTCAGTTTAGGATGCCTGGTGGGGGAGGGGAGGGGGGCAGGCAGGGATCTGATCTGTGCTCATGGTACAGTTATTTGAATCTTAGTAGCAGAGAACAGTTCCATCAATACTTGGAATGCCTCCAGTGTTCATTCTGAAAAGTTTAATTTGTTCCACCTGACAAAGGGAATTTCCTTAGAAAAATGCTGCTTTTTTTCCCTTAGACTTTAAAGTAGAGTAGCTTTTCAAAATAAAAAGTGAGTCTGAGTAGAATTCAAATTAATTTGGGGGTTGGAAAGAGAATACAAAGAAAGGCAGAAAAGAAGTAATTAAAATATCTAAAGATATTCTTTAACTGAAAGTCATAGTTCTGGAGAAAAAATGAAATACTTGAAATTTTGAATCAATTAGAGACATAATGTGGAAAACTGAGGCAGTCATTGCTGTTTTGGTTTTATTTGTTCTGAGTCACCTTTAAAATTTTGCTTAGTTCTGGCTTTGACTGTGAGAAATCAGAGTGATAGATTAACTACTGTAAGACCATGGAAGACAGCAAATTTCAGGGGTTTTTTTTCCTTAACTGTAGATGATATTAATTTATTTATTTTAAAACAAATTTCAGTTTTACCGTGATAGTTAATTTATGTTTTTCCTATTTTTTTAAATTTCTTTCACTGTTAACTTGGAAATTACAATTTAACTTATGTTCTGAACATATTTTCTAGTGGGAACAATTTTATTTTCATGAAACATTTTCAGAGGTCAACATTGTATTTAACTATGAATTATTGATACACCTATTACCCCAATGTATCAATACTTCTATTTAGTATGAAAATTATTTCTGCATTAGATGTCTAGTAGGTATACCACAGATATTCCTTGGTGGATCAATATTTTATTTCAAGCATTCTTTGCATTCCTGGTGTTTCTTGTGGAGACTTGAGTCCTCTTGGCAAGTTCATGCTGAAGGATTTATGCCTCCTGTGGCCTGGACACAAGGGCCTTGAGCATTAGGTTGAGGTTGAGGCCGTTGAGATTGCTCTAGACAGAGCCCTAGTGAAAAACCCAGGCTTGGGAATGCTAAAATAACACCCAGCATGAATATCTGCGTTGGAACATTTTTCCTTTTTCCTTAAATGCCTAAGAAGAGTGGCATAGATGTTAAGGACTGAGCCATTATTCTCCACCCTCTGTTTTAATAGCTTCTTAGTTTTAAGAACACCTCTGAAACCAGGCTTCTAGAATCCCACAGAGGTACTATACTGGCTACAGCTTCCTGGTCATTGCTCTAATTTACACCGTGTGCCGTCTCTCATAATTGATAAGTAGGAATTGTTGGGTTTGTAATTTGAATGGATATCTGTGCACACTCTTCAACCCATGTTCACTGTCATTTTCAAGCTGGAAGCTGGAACAAAGATGCAGATGCACACACTAAAAGGAGGAAATTCAGATGATTGGGTTTGTACTCGACAGGATTTATTGCACCAAAACTGATGAATAATTTCTAAAATGATTGACATTTGTAGCTGATGACAAAGGGGCTGTTTATATGAATTTTGATGATTGAATTTAAATACAAAGGTGAGATGATCATGATGTCTGAATTCTCTTTCTCTTTGTTTTTAATAAGACTTTCTTTTTCTTGATTAGTTATAGGTTTACAGTAAAGTGAGTGGAAAGCAGAGAGTTCACATTTACCCACTTATGTCTCCCACTACACCTTGGTCATCTTTATTATTAACATCTTACACTGGGGTTGTACATTTGTTACAATTGATGAGCCAATTCTGACATATTGTTCTTAATTAAAGTCTCTAGTTTATATTAGGGTTTTTTCTTGGTGGTTTACATTGTGTAGTTTTTGACAAATGCATATGACATGTTTCTACAATTACAGTGTCATACAGAATAATTTCATTGCCCTAGAAATCCCCTATGGTGTTTTTCTTTTTTTAATTTAATGTGTCACTTTTCCTAAGGGGGAAAAATGTGTGTGTGTGCTGTCAGGAATTGAGAATTTAAAACGTAGTACAAGCATAACATTAACTTAAAATATAACTTTTAATGACTTTGAAAATTTTATAATATCTAGATTTTTTCATTTTAAACATGGAAAATACATATAAATTGATAATGGTCTCAACTGAAGAATACAGGAAAGGACAATAGGCATTTATTAGCTGATAATTCCCTTTAGCAATAAGTTAACATAAAGATCTTTGAGAGTAAAATGGCAACTATAAAATTGCCTTCTGTGCATTCTAGGTGAACCATTTTCCTTAAAAAATGAGTCTTGAGGACATTCTTTCAATGTTTCTTGAGAGAGGAGGAAAAAGACATTTACTTGCACTATCAGATCACATTTTCTTGATATTCTTTGTTTCTGTCTTTATACAGGTAACAATTCTTTTAAAAGTTTTATTTCTAAAATATGTAACCCTAAACAGAAGTTATTATTATTGCTATGCTTATTTCATCAGTTTGGTAGAGCAATAAATACTTGTTGACTGGTTGACTGTAACATAAGTAGTATGAATGTCAAGAGATTGCAAATGATTGACCAGAATGTGGATTCTGAGTTTTGTTGGTTAAGAGTTAAGTAAACACTGAAGCCAAATGGTAATTTTTCATCTGTTCCCTAAGTTAGCAACTGTAGACTTCTGACATTATTAAACTTCAGTGATCTTTTTACCTTCTCCTTGGGGATAGAAGATCATTTTGAACTGGAAAAAGAAGAATAAAGTAAATGAACAAAATGGTTTCTTATGTAGGTGAATTTACCTAAGAAATCGTGTTCTTCTGCACTTATAGAGTTTGAATTTGATTTTTGTGAGGTTGCTACTCTTATGTGAGTATTTCTAGTCAATGTAGTTAAACATTTGGTCACTAAGACGTTTGTCAGATATAAACCAAAGACTTGGGTGGTTAATTGACTGTATGGCTAAAGATATTGGCTAATGGCAAATGATGGAGCAAAGCAGTATCATAGCAGATCCTGACTGTGAGTGAAGACTGTTTTCTTTGCAAGGTGGGCCCTCATTTTCATATTTATGACTATGTCATGGAAACCTGGGTAGTTTTGTGTGCATTTACTACTACACCAAAAAAGATGGTGAATGGGTGTACACATTTAAGTAAAAAGGAAATGCGGAAAATGCATAAACATGTACATACATAATGCGTGCATGTGTAAATCATTTACCAAGTTAAGAAAATTAATTGACCATTCCATCATTAGATCTAATTGTACCAAGTGAAAGGGCTTCTAATGAGTTTCATTCTAAAATTAAAAACAAAATAGACCCTTTTAAAGTATTATGTCAGGTCTTGGAAGGTAGGCCTTCTTGTTTTATTCTTGAATCGCTGCTGATTGCAGAGGTAATATTCTCATGACTTGTGTTAGTTGGTTTCCTTGGTGAAGTAGGATGTGCTCCCATGTTTGGGATTTGGAAGCAGCAAATGTTGTCTGGATAAAGGACTGGTAATGACACCTGGGTTCTAGTCTACAAAACTCTTAAACACTCAGACACTTATAACTCAACATTAATATCAAGCAGAAAAAGCATATTTTAGAGCTATAGTAATGTAGTTTACATTATGAAAATTCGGGCTGCTTTTGTGTTTGGGTGGG